TGAGTACATATCATGTTTGTCTTTTTGTGATTGGGTTACCTTGCTCAGAATGGTTTCTTCTAGTTCCATCCATTTTCCTGCAAATTTCAAGATTCCATTTTTTTTTCCGCTGAGAAGTATTCCATTGTGTAAATGTACCACATTTTCTCTATCCTTTCTTCGGTTGAGGGGCATCTAGGCTGCTTCCAGTTTCTGGCTATTACAAATAGTGCTGCTATGAACATCGTTGAACAGATGTCCCTGTTGTGTGAACGTGCTTCGACCCTAAAGAATTTTTAAGCATTCTTTCCATCAAGTCTGTGGCCTTTCTGTGAACCAGGACAAATGCTCCTCTCTGGCCCTCTGAGCACGTAGAACACGGCAACAAATAGTCATCTCACAACTGGGCTCTGTTTCTCACACGTACGTCCCAGGTCACACCCGAAATCTGCTGGCTACTTTTCCTGGAACTATCAGCACACCATAACATTGTATTAACTTCCACACACAACAAGGCCTTTATGGACAGTCTCCTTATCTCCCCCCTTGTTAGAACTAGGAGAGACATGTTCGGACACCTCCTTCTTCATTTAGGGGCACAGGCTGACAGATTAATACACTAATACACTGTCAGTTAGCAGCACTGTATGAAGGAACAGAGTTAAGCCCCACTAATCTCTCAGGGTCCAAGAATGAATGAACGAGTCAGACAAACTGGAATTTTCAGGATCAGTTTTGAGCTTTGGAATCATTAGTGGGAAGGTCATCCAATTACAACAGCCTACAGCACTTTCTAGGGTTTTTGTTGTTGTTATTGTTCTCTCTGCATAACTGACAAGCGTCATCACATTACAAGCAAGCAGCTGTCCAGTTAGTTATTTACTCATTGTGCTTTTTACATGTGTGCATATCAAGCTTGGATACAACCCCCAAAGGCAGCAGATGACATTTCATGTAATTGTTAGAAAAAAAATCTCTATTACCTTTTTCCTCTGTCTCATATCCTGTTTTTAATACTTTTCAAGTTGTTTCCAATATAAAGGCCAAGCCATTGCCAGAACAAAATCCATAAAGTGGGCTTCCAACAGGCACTGATGGTTTCAATTCCCTGCTTCTGGCATTTCCCATTGGCTTATAAAACAGCCATTCTTGTCAGAAAAAAACACATACAAAACATTACATGCCGTCTGCAGGAAGAGTTTTGAAATAAATTTCTGGACCTAACCAAAGCAGTTTTATTTCATACTGAGTCTTTGTATCTGTGACATTTTCAACAATCCCATTGCAGTGATTGTCTGCTCAGCCTACTTGGATAATAGGCGTCATAGAAGCTCATAGAATAAGAAAAACAACATACTTCAAGGGCTGAGAAGATGGCTCAACATGTAAAGGCACTTGCTATACAGACATATGAGTTACACATGAATTTAAATCCCAGCACCCACATAGAAGCCAGGCTTGGCCACGTGGGCCACTAACCCTATAATCTGAGGCAGAAACAGGCAGATCCCAGGAGTACAGTGGCCAGCCAGGTCCTGGTTGAGTGAGAGACCCTGTCTCAAGGGAACAGGACAGAGAGTGATAGAGCAAGACAACTGGCATCGTCCTCAGACCTACACACACACACACACACACACACACACACACACACACACGCAGAGAGACATACATACATACATACATACATACATACATACATACATACATACATACACACAGATATACATACACACATACAGAGACAGACACATACAGAGACACACAGAGATACACACACACACACACACACACACACACACACACACACATGCAGAGAGACATACATACATACATATACACAGATATACATACACACAGAGAGAGACAGACACATACAGAGACACACACAGACACACACACACACAGACATATACACAGACACGTACCCAGATACACACACACACACACACACACACACACCTCAAGAGACAGAGATTTTATACGTAGTTGTCTCTCTTTCTTGTTGAATGATTATTTTGCCTTGTGTGGGCTGCATCCATTCTTGTCTAGGATAAACCACAAGTTTCTCTTCACTCCACATTATGCAAACTTCCAGGTGACAGACAAATGGCAAATGCATCCGACATCTATATGCCGACTGACCCACAAGTGTGTACATTAACTAAAACTCTAAATCTCCAACTCTCTAGAAATATAGGAAAGTGAACAACCATGACCTAGAGTGACCTTGTGGAAGTTGAGGAGTTCACCCATTTCACACTAGCGGGAAAGCAAGTCACAGTCCCCGTCTCCTGGTCCCCCTGAAACTCCATGTGCATCTCTACAAGCTCCCAGCTGTAACACAAAAGCTGTGCTTTGGCCACCCTGTTTCCCCAGTTCATCTGCCATAGTCCCCAGGTTCAGTGTCCAGCCAACCTCTTCTGCATTTGCTCTGCTTTTTTCAAAGTTAGTTTCCTAATGGAAAACCACAAAAGGTGTTTCTCCAGATGTTCTTAATATTCTGAGGCCCTCAATGCACAGTTGGCTCATGTGAGCTTATGAGATGTGAACACCCAGGCCTCCTCCTTCACCGAAGCTGACAGCCAAACACACCCTTCCTGGCCCCTGATTTTCTTAATGAGAACCAACAGTTTCTGGCCTGGATTTCTATGTTTCTCATGGGGATTTTATGATTCTCAAGTACCCCACAGTATGAAATAACTCTTTTTTAAATCTTCAAGGGGTTAGACGGTTGGCTCAGCAGTTAACAGCACTGGCTGCTCTTCCAGAGGACCTGGGTTCAATTTCCAGCACCCACAACTGTCTGTAACTCTAATTCCAAAGGATCTGGTGCCCTCTTCTGGCCTCCATTGGCACTGGATGTGCCAATGTGCCGACATACCATGCAGGCAAAATGTCTATACACTTATTATTATTGTCATTGTTATTATTATTATTTGTTTTTAACAATTAATGAGTAATTGCTATACTAACTCAAAATGAAACACTAACGCAATACAAAATACACATCACATAAATATAAAGACTATACAGTGAAGAAAGGTGTATGTATCCTCTAATGTCTTCTATGATTTTTATGTCTCCAAGTTTTAGTGTTTCAACTGAAAATTTGTTTTTTAAAGTACATTGATATTGAGTAATAATAGCAAATAGGTATTATGTTGCCAAGAGATATATAGCAGTCAAGAAGAATCTAAGATGCTGCCCTGTCCAGATGTGCTCCGTAGGCCCAGTGACACTGCTTCATTCCACAGAGAAGAGCTTCTTCACTTCACTCCTATACTCCTACCCCAGACCCTAATGCATTCTATATACAATGAAAGGACACTGGAAACAGGCCGTCTATGGGACAAGCTGACCTGGGGACCTGGCAAGGCAGAGGGTTGACACTCACAACTCTTTCTTTGTGTTTAAGATCGGTGCACAGTGCTACTTGGAATGTTCTGCCCTGACTCAGAAAGGTCTCAAAGCAGTTTTTGATGAAGCTATCCTCACAATTTTCCATCCCAAGAAAAAAAAGAAAGGCTGCTCAGAGTGCCACGGCTGCTGTGCAATCATCTGAAGGCGCCTGAGACCCATTTCCCTGCCATCCAAGGATGTGAAAAGCAGCCAGTCTCTGTGACCCTACTCCAAACGGGAGGCTGTGACTGGAAAGGAACTCCTGCATCCCGAGGCCTGTCCCTGTGCCCCACCAGCTTTCCAGCTCAGCATCCTGCCAGCCACTGCCACGGCCCCAGGCCAGAGCATCCACACCGTGCATGGAGGATGCTGAATCACATTAAGACAGTGCGCTGGGGAGGTGTCAGAAGCAAGTCATGACTGTCCTGTATTTACATCCCCTTCCATGGATGTGAATGGACAGGAAGTCATGGTGGGAAAACCAAGCACTCTGTCCTGCCCTGGTGGCCTTACTTCTTTGCCAAACTCGGGAATACAACATCAACGTTTTTCCAAAGACTGTTGTTTCAGCCAAGTGTCTTAATGCTCGTTTCTATTGCAGTTTCCTGATGTCCAATCACTTGAGCCTTGCAAATCCATATCAAAATAGTTAAAAGACAAGCTGGATTATGCTCACTCCTGTTGACGGTGGCTCTCTGCCAATATTCTTAGAGCCAACATGTACCTCTGAATACCTGATTACAAATAAATAACACTTTACTGCTTTCATAAACTTACAGACCTGTATTTTTTAGCCTTTGTGAAAGAAAACATCCTGTGAATTATTACAGCGTCCCCAGTTTTGCCAAAGATTCCTCCTACAAATGCTTCAGGTACTAGGGGGCCTGCTCTTGCAAACTGCTACTGTCATTCAAATTGAAAATGGACTGTCTTTGAAGAAAGAAATAGATTTTTGCTTTTCATCTACACTGGTCAGGACAAGAATATGGCAAAAACCGTCTTCCTGATCCAGCAGAGTGGGCTTCACAGAAGGCCAGTGACTTCCCTCCAGTCCTCCAGTCACACTTTCTCCGGTGCCCAGATCCCTGTGTTCCCCCAGTCATAGCCTGACCTTAAAAGAAAGGGGAGGAGCCATCTGGTCATGAAAAATGGGGGTTCCCAGAATCCTTCAGGGTCAACATGCCTTAACTTTTCTACTTATTTCAGCTAAAAGTGCTTGCTCCAAATTAAGCTTCAGTTCAGGATGGTTTCCAGTTGCAGCCAGTATGAAAATCATCCCCTCCCTCCATCTTTCCTTGACTCCTTCTCCCAAATGTCCTTGGAGGATGGGCTTAAGTGGATCCTATTCCAGGCTGAGACACTACACCTAATGGGGAGTTTGGCCCTGAGCAGGAAGAGCTCCCAGTGAGAAATCCTACACCTTTCAACCAGCCAGGGACTCTGTGTTTTAATTAGAGGCTGTGATTGGTACCGAATAGGCTTATTTGCTTACTCATGTCCTGGAATTACCCAGGGAAGCTGATTTATCCTTTTTTTTTTTTCTTTATTGCATCAGCAAATCATATCTTAGCAATAAAAACAATTAATTCACTTTTCTAGATTGAAGCTCCATTTGTTTGGAAAAGCATCCCAATCTTTCTAACCTTTTCTGCTCATAGAGGAACCACAGAAAAGAATTTATGATATTGTTCTTCTTGAGATCTTCCATGACACCCCTTCAGTCTTTGGGGGTTTTGATTGTTTTTTGTTTAGAATTTCTAAAATGTATTTTCACCTCCTCTACATGTTAGTACTGTTCTTCTCTCCCATATGATGGCAAAGAACTCTCTTTTTTTTTTTTTTTTTTTTTTTTTTTTTTTTTAAAAAAGGGTTTTTTTGTGTAGCTTTGGAACCTATCCTGGCACTTGCTCTGGAGACCAAGCTGGCTTAGAACTAACAGAGATCTGACTGCCTCTGCCTCCGGAGTGCTGGGATTAAAGGCGTGTACCACCAACGCCCAGCTGGCAAAGAATTTTTTACAACACACACATACATGCATAACATACATACATGCGCACACACACACACACACACACACACACACACACACACACACACACACCACCTAAAAGGAAACAAGAGTTCTGTAAGTGTAGGGAGCCGTCCCTGCATTCTCCATTACAAGATGGCGCCTGCATCCGGCAGGCACCGAATGTAAAGTTAATGCGCACAGATGCTGGGTAACTTTCCATTCCTTGATCTCTGTCTCTTTCAGCAAATCCTACCGGCGTGCGCCACCACAACCAGTGGCCAAAGCTTGGCATCTAGAGAAATAGGACTGTCTGCCTTCATACACAGAAATCAAATATGCATTGTCACAATGCTGTGGAGGCTACCATTTATCTTCAGTCAGTGATGAGTATATGGTCTTGTAATGTCATTAGTGCTGTGAGCCAATTTTGTTACAGTATGGCATAGTTACATCTTGCTAAGGGTCTGTTCCTCACTTCTTGTTGTGGAGGAAAAACTGAAAGCAATATGTTGCCTCCACGAGGGAGAATTCCCAAATATGTGCAGTCAGCAGGAGAATTGCTCCCCAAGCCATCACCTCCATAATGGAGCAATGAGATTTCTATAGCAGGACCTAATTTGTTTCACACACACACACAAAAAAAAAAAAAAAAAAAAAAAAAAAAAAAAAAAAAGGTCTGCTGCCTGGAGATTGAGTAACAACTGTTCTGAGAATTCAAAACAAAACAGAGTCATAGAAATCAAAAGAAAGATTTGCTAAAAGTCAACACATGGTAACTGATATCCATGTGAGGATAGAAAAAGCCTCAGAACCTGTAACACATTCCTTCAATGTGCAGATGAGACTCGTGGCCAGGGCCAACTGAGAGTGTTGTGCTGTGCAGAGCTGAGGCAAATCCTAGCATCTGCTTCCCACCCAGCACCCGGCAGCCCCACACTATAGTTTGCTTGTCATCACCTGTATCAAGTTGAAGTTCTGCTTGCAGATCAGTAGAGTCACCTTTGTTTCTTTTTCAGCTTTCAGCCATATTTTAAATGCTTAATTTCATGTAGTTAAGCTTCTATAGACAAAGTAGTAATCCACCACACTAGTAAGGTATGGTAAAGTGATGAGAATTTGATCTTCTCACCAACATGCCTGCAATCCAGAGCAAACTGCCATGTAATTTTCTAGTTTGACAGATTTTTTTTTTCACTTCGATGGTTGATTGTTAAATAGAGTTGACAGACAGTTTAAACTAAGGCACAAGTCAAAGCCCTGTCTGTAGTAAGAAATCTGGGCTGATTTCTTCCAAGAAATTTTATGTTCTAAGAACAGCTGTAGAAATCACTAACTACCTACCACAACATAAACTAGGAATTACAAAGGAGCAAAGTCAAAACCTATGCTCTGTACTTGCGATGGGAAGTGGGTTTTGGTCCTGTGAATTTGAGGATAATATGTATGGTTACAATATATAAAGAATTATTGGGCAGATTTCTGGTTTGTAGATGCACTGTCAAATGAATGTAGCCATCCATAGTTCTCATTGCACCACCAACAAGGAAATAGAGGAAAACAATCACAACTATACCTACAGTTTTTGGAGGAAATAAAAAGAAACCTAAGCCAGGCATGGTAGTCATGTCTGTGATCCCTGCACTTAGGACATAGAGGCACAAGGATTTCAGTTAAAGGCCAAACTGGTCTACAGGGCAAGTTCCCATCCAGCCAAGCTACATGGGGAGACCCTGTCTCAAAATAAATAAACATATAAATAAATACTAAATCCAGAATGTCTATTCAACAAAAATATCATTATTTGAGGTGTAAGTTGAACAACCTCAGGAAATTCAGCATCTTACAGGAGAAATCTCTGAATTGAGGCAAACTTCTTAAAATGCCATATAAGAGAGCTAGGAATTATGGTGCACACAAATAATTCCAGAACTCAGAAAGCTAAAGCAGGAGGAATTCAAGTCCAGCCTGGGCTATACAGTAACACTCAAAAAGAATTCACAGAAGCCACGTAACATTCACTGAGCAAACATTCCTGAGACCGGTGCGATGAAAACTTGAAGTTGAGTTTTTGCTTTGAACACACATTTGATGTTGTGCTTGACATTATTATCTAACAAGTTCTATGTTGTTTTGAAATTCATCCTCGTTCAGATGCCAGAGCTACAGATGACTGGCTACCCTCTTGGTAGTCTCCAACTTCATTGAGAAGGCTTCCCAGGTATTTGTGTTACAGAAACAGTATCTTTTCTGGAATAATAGAAACAGAAAGGAAAAGAGGTCAGGAAAACTGAGTTTCTTACAAAGGAAGGTAATCCTTTTGAGAAATGAAAGAGTTGGAGAACAGAGAGGAAGTTACAACTAAACATAGGGCAAACCACAGGCTTGCTCGCCTTTGGGAGAGTTTACTTGTGCCTAGCGTTGGGAGGCCAAGGGAAGACAGAGGACTAGGAGTGTCAAGAGCATGTCATGGGCATCCATGGCAAAGCCTGTGGTGATACTAAGAATTCTTCCCCAAGTGGGGGTCTATGGGTGCTCTTTGCAGCTCTAACAGCATGGTAGTATAGAAACCTACTTCCTCTGCTTCTGCATAGCAGAAAGTCAAGGGAAACTCACCAAGAAATGGGCATAAATAAATAACCTTGAAAGTCTTGTGAGCTGACCCCTGGTAAGGCTAACTCTGGAATACTTGTGCTGGGGTATACAGATGATATTGTTTCACATTCACAAAGACAACAATAAACACAAAGATTATATTAATATGCACAGATGCTATAGGTGCAGTAATAGAAGATAAAACAATAGAATTCATGGTGCTTCCATGGTCAATAATAAACAGAAAAGTAACCAGAACACTGAGCTCTCTGCTCAGTCACCAGGGTCTTAGCCTGTCTCTCAGGGGCTCAGGGAGGAGTGAGCCAGGGTCTGGCTCCTGTTTGAAAGGGTGGGATGTAAGTTCAACAGCAGCCCTTGGCCTCGAGGCCCCATTCCAAGAAATTAGAATAAACAGGGCATGCTGAATCTTGGTTACCACCTGTGTTTTGCTCCTAACTATAATGCTACACTATAATGTTGGAGACAAGGGTTGCTTTGGTGCATGTGTGTTAGAAGTATGGCCCAGAGCCTTCATAGCACTAAAGCCAGAGCAGTGTGAGGTCTTTAGCAATGAACCCGAAGTTTCAACACGTGTGGTATCTTTGCTGAATGAAAGCCCAGTTTGTGTCACAGACCATGTGACTTCTGCTGCACTGTGAAGAAAGGGCACCTGAACCAGCAGATCTGGCCCCTCAGTGGCCTCCAAAAGGCAGAGTTTGGAGTTTGTTAGACCTCTTGAGGGAAAAGAGAAACACTTTCTAGGTAGAGCAATGAGTACATCCTCGGAAGTTAATAGAAATGCATCTAAAATCACCTTTCCCTGTCATCTTTGATGCATTCATTAAGAAATCAGATTATTTTCTGCTTGAGGAGCCCAGGCCAGGATGTTAATGAATTCTGCACTCTCGTCAGTCAGTAGAATTGCCTTTGCTCTGAGTAAAGAGAAAGCATATATAATACGCATGGGAAGAAACTGCAATAGCTGCTTCTCTCAAGTAAGGTGTGCAGAGTAAAGGGACTCCCAGTCAACTCGCTCAGAGGCTGCTGTTCCTATGGTCTCCTGTGTAATTAATGGCTGTTCTCTGTACCTGTTTCATAATAAGTGGAATATTATTTCATGTACTCTAACCTCACTGTTTATCTGTATCACATTTTTGACATGTCATTAAATGGTCTTTTTTTTTCTTTGTGCTCTCATTTGTGGAGTCATCAGGGATTTCTGTCAGCCGCTCATGCAAATTGCCTTCTGAAGGTGTCTTTCTACAATGGGAAATTGTCCCGTTCCTTACTATTCAAAATGTGATCCAAGGATTGGCAGCATCAGCATCACTTGGTAGCTAGTCAGGACTGGAGTTTCTTGGGGCCCCATTGAGAGCAACTGACCAGAACTTTCATGTTAACAAGGCTCTAAGTGACTCAGATGTACATTAAAAATGAGGACACACAGTCTGTGAGGCATCCAGATTCGTTATCAGTCTTTCTATCCGAGCATAGAGCTGAATGATGAAGAAGTCATAGTGTAGATGGTCTCTCAGATGCTGTCGTGTAGGTATTCCTCAGGTCAGTATTTAAATCGCTCATTTACCGGTTGTCAGTGTCTTCTCTTTTCATCGTATGCCACCCAGCTGCAGTAAAAGAACAGCATATTTGGAAGCAAGCAGAAAAGCAGCATCTGGCTTGGAAGATCTGCTAAATCTAAAATATTCTCTTTGGGAAGTCATTCTGGTATTTATAAGTGTCCTACTTTGCTTCTCTGTTGCTTTGATAAAACACTGACCAAAAGCAGTTGATGGGAGGAAAGGACTTATATGACTTACAGGTTCCAGCCTGTCATCAAGGGAAGCCAGAGCAGGGGCACAAGCAGAAACCTGGCGCAGAGGCCATGGAGGGTGCTGCTTACTGGCTTGTTCTCCATGGCTTGTTCAGTCTGCTTTCTTATACATCCTCAGAACTACCTGCCCAGAAGTGGCACCAACACAGTGAGCTAGGCCTTCC